CCCTCAAAATGGACCAGAAACTAGCTTAAAACTCAACCTATTGACTACCTTAAGATATAACAACTAATTTCATTAATTATAACCTTAACATATCATCTCAAGTTTTTCAAAACAAGTAATAATTAACCAACATTCATAATAATACTATTTCAATTCAAATAACACACATATAATTCAATTCCAAGCAATTATATCACACACAACAAAATCTCAAACAAACTCAATCTTTTAATCAAACTTAAGCATACAAAATCAGATAATCAAAGCATTAAAACAATAGATAAGAGGTATTTAACTTTCCTTACTTGACAGATGACCAAACCGTTCTAGAGAATTTAAAACAACCTCAAATGCATAAGAAGTCCTATTTGCTCCTATGAGCTACCTAATCATGATTAGGATATACTATTAGGATCATTGATCAACAAATACTCAAATTGAAAACTCAAATTGAAGACTAATAAGACACATGCAAACTAAGGGGATCCACGTACAACAAATATAAAAAAAACCAAATAAAGGAGTTGAAAACTCAATTTACTAAAACGAAAAATTTGATTAGTCTATATTCAAGAGCTCGTCATAAGAATAAATTATACGATCTCGATTTTTCAATTAAACGAACAAGGGGGAAGAACCCTTGAAGAGAAGTCAAAAAGCTTTAAAGGAATCATTTTTAGATAAATGATGTGTTTTAAAATAATAACTCTTTCGTAATTAAACTATTTATAATAAAATTATTTTTAAATACTTGCTAGCCATTCCACCAAGGTATGTCAATCCAGATGCCTTTAAATCCATTCTTCCTATTTACTTTTGTTTGTTTTTGTAGCTGATATATTTCACTTCTTATTTGTTTAAGTAGATTTTGGTCATGGTCAAGGTTTACGGGTAATGTTGTTTGTGACAGTCAATAATATGTCTGAACTTTTAATAGTGTAATATTACATGTAAGAGGTAAGCCCATCATCTCAATGATGGAAGACATTCGTATGTACCTCATAAAGAGATGGGCAACAAATAGACAGAAAATAACTTCATATGAAGGCAGTCTTTGCCCAAAGATTAAAAAAAGATTTGAAAAGGAATTTCACTTGACTAAATATTGGATACCTAGGTATGTGCACATGACTACATTAGCATATGGACTTCTTTATATTTTAAATTTTGTACTATAAATACTAATTTAAATTGGTTATCATTGTAGTTGGTCAGAACAAAAAAAAATTGAGGTCAGACACACTTCAATGATGAGTGAGAAGTATGTGGTTAACATAGATAAAGTGGAATGTAGTTGCAGAAAGTGAACTTTAACCGGCATTCCATGTTGTCATGCACTAGCTGCCATGACATTTATCAACATCAATGGAGAAGACTACATCCCACATTGGTTTACAAAGTCAACATACCAAGAAACATACATTCCAATGATATACCCTGTCAATGGTCCTCAGTTGTGGGAAATGACTTCTCAGCTGTGGGAAATGACTTCTCAGCCTGATGTTTTGCCTTCACCTAAAAGGGTGTTACCTGGTAGACCAAAAAAGAAAAGAAGGCTAGAGGCTTGGGAGTTAAAGAAGGATGACACATAACTCAACCAAAATGGAACTCGTAAGAGATGTTCCATATGTAGACGACTTGGTCATAAAAGAAATAGTTGCCCACAAGCTCCTCCAACAAACCAAAGTCAATCTCAATCAAGTCAGCAACCTCAAACCCAAGTTGAACAAACTCAGCCAACTATTGGACCAAGTCAGCTTACTCAATGCGTATTGGAACAAACTCAGCCATCTACAACAGGAGTTTAGAAGTGATTTAGAACTGACTTTATGTTTAGCTTAAGTATGTGTAACTTAAGTAATGACTATTTTGTAAACGTTGACATGTATTTCGAGACCAATTTTGAATTGGTTATTTGGTAAACTGTGAGATGTGCATTTCAAGTCCAATTTGTAAATTCAATGACATATTCTCTTTTGGATGTGCATTTCAAGTCCAATTTGTGATTATGATGTAATTATGAATGATGTTTGGATGATTATAATTTACATTTCAATGACAGATTCTCTTTTGGATGTGCATTTCAAGTTCAATTTCTGATTATATTGTCATGACAGGGCAATGGTTCTTTGTTGTGATGTATACTCATGTTACAACTTACACTTAATTTGTCATGTCAATGTCAAATTTCTGAATATATTGTCATGCTTTTGATTTCGTGTTGCTTTGGTCCAATGCAATTTCAAAAGACACTTCCTTATTTTATTGTAAGTTACACATCACTTCCTCATTTTATTGTCATTTCAATGTAATCATCAGTGTGCTTATGTTCTATATATCACACAAAATGTAAATTGAAACCATAATTTCATATGCTTCAATTCAGATTTCACATTCATTTCAAAACATCATATTACAATAAGCCCAAAATGTTTTTCACATAAACTGTCTAATAGAACACATCATGGACTTTTAAACAAAATACATACAAGAATGATGTTAATGAACCCCATAAAACATATCATCGATATTAACATCTTCTCCCTTTTCTGACAATCCATAACACATTTCTCTAGGCTATTAATCTTTCTCCGTTGCTTAGCAATAGTACTAGCAGCATCATCTACATAATCTTCATTACGCCATTTAAGGAAATTGCATCCTTGAAGTTCTTCATTTCTTGTTCGCTGTTCAAAGTATCCAACCAGAAAAATTTCATTAATCAACAAATTTTTTTATCACAAACATTAAATTACAAACCTTGTAATTAGGGCAACCCCAAAATTGCTTCCCATCGTTCTTAACTATTTTTTCCACTCTCAACACAACAACCTTCCCATAATGGCATATTTGGCTTACAACGAATCCTCTGGATGAACCACCACGAGAGCTCCCCCATGAGTAAGACAAACAACCTTGATTCGAAGACATTGCGAATTCAAAGCGAAGCCCAAAGGGAGACAACCACGAACCACGAAGCACTAAGCCAAGCAACTGCGAAAGAGGGAAGACAAACTCACCAAGCACGAACCACCACCAAGCAATAAGCTAAGCACAACTCGTAAACAACAACAGAAATGAGAAGAAGACCAACAAGAAGAAGAACACCCACCACTTTACCGTGTTCGCAATGTAGGCGAAGAACTCCAACTGCCCTAACTTTGTTTCTATTGAATTGCACAAAATTAGTTAAAAACCCTAACTGCTGGCAATTTATCCCCAATTGAAAAAACCCAATTTCTTATTAAAACTCATTCTTCTCTAATTAACTAATACATAAGCACGCACACAATTATATTTTGACACATAACCACTAACTACTGCCACATCATCATCCCATTAACTTCGTTTGGTTATATTTAACGGAAGAGACTAATTTGACTCAAAAATTTACAAGTAAGGACCTATTTTAAACACTTTTCTAACGAGAGACTAGATTGAAATTTGTCAACCAACCTAAAAACAAAATTGGGTATTAAACCTATTAAAAACAAACAAGAACAATCTCATTATGGAATGAGAGATGATTATTTTATTATTTATGAAAGTTACTAAAAATATGTCAATTTCATTAATCATCACAACACATTTTTTAATAAAAATAATAAAAAGTTATTCATCATTTTATATGAAAATAATTAAAGAAATTAATAAAACAACATGAGAACATGTAACTCAGTTAACAAAACTTAAACAACAACAAAATAATTAAAAAACATTAAAAATTTAAATACTTAATAAAAGAACAATTATTTAAAACTATTGAAACCAAATAAATTAAAACATATAATAAATATTGTAATAAATATATTCCATTTTATATTTTACGATCAAATATATTTTTCATTCTTTAATTTTCAATAAAAATTAGAATTAATCTACATTGAAAACTTTAGACTAATTTAGCTTTAATATTAAATAAATTTAATAAAATTTGGTTAAAAAGTCTAAAATCTTGTACTCTTTTCTTTTCACGAAAACAACCTTTGTTGTCTAGTCTGCTTGCCTTTGCTTCCTAAAATAAGATATACAAGAATGAGGGAAAGAAGCAATGAGAACATAAAACAATGAATGAAAGAACTTAATGAAACTTTCTCAATTCGAAATGTTAGAAGATGCAGAATAAATAGGTGTGAGAGTTGCTACAATTACTTTAGCAAAAGCTGCTATAGGTATGGGAACATATTGAGTTAATTAATTCATTGTGTAGCAAGAAATCCATTATTAGTAAAGTAATTATTGAATATGCAATATTGAGCTTGGTTCTAACTAAGGATATTGTCTTGTTTGCATTAATAATAACCTTTTTAATTCTTTTTGTTTTCTAAATCACACAATTTTAAACTTGAAAAATTAAATTAGTAAAAAGATTAAAATAAAAACTCATTTTAATTGTATATTTGTTTACGAACAAGGAAGCTATAAGTAACGAAACTAAGAATTTCATAGAAAGTTTGATCCTGGCTTAGGATGAACGTTGCCGGCATGCCTTACACATGCAAGTGGGACGAGAAGTGGTGTTTTTCCAGTGGTAGACAGGTGAGTGATGCGTAAAAACCTACTTTTAAGAGAAGAACAATATAACAACAGCTGAAAATAACTGCTAATAGCCTGTAAGCTGAAGAGCAAAAAGAAAAATACATCTGAATAGGGACTCAAGTCTAATTAACTAGTTGGTGAGACAATAACTTACCAAAATGATGATCAATAAATGGTTTGAGAGGATGATCAGTCACACTGGAACTGAGACACAACTCAGACTCCTAAAGGAGGTTTCAAAGGAAATTTTTTCATAATGAGCAAAACCTGATGAAGCAATGCAACATGAAGATAGGGAGCCTACGGATGATGAACTTCTTCTTCAAAGAAGAAACAATTTGGTATCCTATACATATAAATAAAATTTAAATAAAATACTTGGAGTAATAAATATTAATAGTATTTTTTGAATATGAATTAAAGCTATTTTCTGAAAAGTTAACAGGTGGCCCCAAGTCAACCCAGGTGGAAGCGGTAGAGGCAAACTGTAATGAGAGTTCTTCATATCATAGGGTTGAGAACCTATATATTTGTCTCTAATCTTAGGCATTTCCTCACTTCACTCCAATTTGTCCCATTCCAAAGGACAAACCTATTTCAATCTTTTATTGCAGTCTTCAATTCATGGCTTCTCCAAAGAGAGGAAGAGATGGCAGTGACAGTAGCGGTGGCGGTAGCGGTGCTGGGACTACTTCTGCTTCTCCAACTATGCCCGATGATTTGATGATAGAAATACTGTCTCGGGTTCCGGTGAAGGCTCTCATGCGGTTTAGGTGCGTTTCTAAGTATTGGAATTCCTTTGTTTTCGATCCCAATCTGGTGAAGCTGCACCTTCAAAGATCCCCAAGAGACAACCCAATTCTGTACACGCTATCCGAGTATGGCGAGTACGAAGATGATGCACATTATCTGCACCAATCCTCTACACAATGCTTACTCCAGAATCCAAATTCCGTTGTTGGCAACGATGGTGATGGTATTCCAGTCTTCGTCGACTACGACATAGTTGGAGTCTGCAATGGATTGGTGTGTCTGAGTAGAATCCATGCTAATCTTGACGAAATCTGGGTCCGATTTTGGAACCCTGCCACCAGACTCAGTTCTGACGAATCACCCTCCTGTTACATCGAATGCGGGGTCGCCAACATGGCGTTTGGTCACGACGCTTCAACTGACACTTATAAGGTGGTGGCAGCAGTGATGACTGACGCGGAATGTCACAAATTGGAGCTTATAGTTCACGATCTTGGAGATGATTGTTGGAGAGAGATTCCAACTACTGATGCTGATTTCCCTTCGGAGTTTCGTCAGACCAAGGGAGTGTTTCTGAATGGCACCCTTAACTGGGTGACAGTACTTGGCACTGGTAATTCCAAATCCCTTGTGGATTTTTGCTTTGACTTAGCCAGTGAGACGTACACATGCTTTAAACTGCCTAATAATGCGGAGGAAGGTTTCTCAGAACTTGGAGCTTTTGGGGGTTGCCTCTGTCTTTCCCACATTTACCATAGAGAATCTTTTGCTTTCTGGCAAATGAAGGAGTTTGGAGTTCATCAATCTTGGACTCTGTTGATGAACATCAGTTACCATTATTTCGAGTTTCCCCGTTATCTCATTCCGCGTCCCTTGTGCTTGTCTGAAGACGGGAATATCCTGATCCTGGTATGCCATGCAGAATACCAACTTGTTTGTTGTAATAGGAGACATAGCCAGATAGAGCATTTTGAAATTCCCCATAAATGGATATCGCTCAAATCTACAGATTACGTTCAGAGCTTGGTGTTGCCTTCTCGTACTACCTGACCTCTGTCTAATCAAATCATGTAAGTGTTTCTTTAAGACATTTTCATCCTGATGCATGACCATGGTCACATTCACATAGAATCTTCTAGTCATAGATAATTTTCCTTGTAGGACTGGAAGTTAGTTCCCTTCCCTATTTGGGTTTCAAGATGTTTTAAAGGCCATGAAGATCTTTCAAATTTTGAAATGCTTCTTAACTTCTTTGCAACTTTTGCATGTTAAACTTTGGTCTCAGCCATCTCATAGCAACATTCTGATTTTTCTGTTGATTCATGCTTTTAGTTGTGTGGCTCTGGATTGGTTTTGGCTGCATTTTCTGTTCTTCGTTCATGTCTTATTCTTATCCCTTGAACTTTCATTCATTCGCATCTTTCCGTAGATTTATTTTGATTTGATTTTACTCACAAGCTACTTGGATTTGTGTGAATATGTATGATAGCAACTTAGTTTTATTATTCGGATGATGGAGTCTGGATTAATGTAGTATTGATTAATATTAATAAGGCAACATGCGTCACCAATGCTATCCGCTTGTCGACTTTTGGTTTGAAGCTAAATTCTTTCTTTGTTTACAGAGGGATATGTGCTTCTTTGAGCATGATGGATTTATTTATTTTCCTTTGTGGGATAGTTTTAATTTTTTCCTGTGTTGCAGGTTTTGTTGTTCTTGGTTAGTATCTCATCCAGGTATAAATTTTGTTCTATATTCACGTAAAACAGAATCTTGTATCCATTTTAATAGAATAATAATTCTTAGGAGTTATTTGATGTGTGCGAAGACTAAACTTTGAAAAGGCATATTAGTTGTGAAAATGTTGGATCTTTCCTATCTAGCGTCTAATTGTTTAAAACGGAATTGTTTGTTATTCAAACTTGCCCATCTAAATTTTACCCATCTAATATGTTGGCAGGAAAACACAGGACTCCTTGATATGTGGAGCTTCGGCGCATCGTGAATTATGGAAGAAGGAAGAAGAAGAGGATTATTAGAAGAATAATTATAGTTTTTTAAAGTATCTGTTCTGTAAAAGATGTTTATTATAACTCTCTTGATGACTCTTTCTAAGGTTCTTTAGTAATAAATAGTACTCGAAACTTGTTTAATAGTATTTATAAGTGATTAGGTGCAGATCTTGCTGCACCATCCAGGTATATTGTTGTTCTTTGCTTTTTCTCTCTTAATAGTATAATTATGATATGTGTTGAATGGATTTTCTCCTCTCTTTCTCTTGTTTTTGGTTTTATTTGTCAACAAAACTTCTACCAGGTGTTTACAATCTAGAATAATATTCTTCTCAATTACACATATGTAGAACTTATTTAACTCAAAATTTATATGAAAACTTACTGATAAAATTAGAGAAAAGATGAGAGAGATTCTGGATTTATCTTTCTCTACTAACAAAATACTAATTATCAATATTTATGAATAAAAAATAATTTAATATAACTATTACAATAAAACAAGCGTTCACTCTCTAGTAAAAGTGAAACAAAAAAACCTTTTAGTTATGAGTAACTCTTTATTCAATAAATATGTAAAGACACCCTACATCCTAATTAGGTTAGGAATTGTAGGAAGGAAGAAAAGAAATATACTATTCAGTTATTATCATGCTTTCAAATCTATAAATTTAGTGAAAACAAATAATTTTTTAATATAAAATGAAAATATCAGTATAAGTTATCATTCTAATTAAGTTGAGACTCTAATAAAATAAGATACTATCATTTAACAGGAATCTTCTGTACTCATTTCCTATTTTGATTTTAATACCAAAAGTTTTATAAAGAGTCAATTTTCTCATCTTGAATAATATGTAAACTCTAATCAGACACACTAGATATTTTTATGTAATATATTTTATATTGTTTTTTAAAATTGTGAATAAACATGTCATAGCTAATGTATGTATATATATATATTTCGAAATTAAAATTTAATTATGTATAAATTAAAATAAAACTTAAAAATATATAAAAAAATTATTGTACAAATTAGCTCATAAACGAACTAATTTTGTTTTAAAAAAAGTAATTTCTTTTTATTTTTTTTGTCTTTATTAAAGATGTGAATGAATAAATTGACATAACTTACTAGTGTTAACCTGTTGAATCTTGTTACCAAAATAACAATATTTTGTTTTAAAATATATGAAAAAGAAAACTTGAAAATATATGAAAAATTATTGTACAAATTAGCTCATAAATAAACTAATTTTGTTTTAAAAAAAGTAATTTTTTTATTTTTTCTTTATTAAAAATGTGAATGAATAAATTGACAAAACTTACTAGTGTTAACCTGTTCAATCTTGTTACCAAAATAACAATATTTTCTGTGAACTAAATTTTAATTGAACAGCATTAAAGAAATAAACTATTTAATAATAATAGAAAGGAGAAAAGGGTGATAACGCAGGAAAGGAAATGGTAGTTACGAGTTGGTGTTCATCTTCGTGGCTGCCTCTGTCACTACGGCTGCCATGGAATTTGAAGGCAGCAAGAATGCCACTGTCACTGAAATTGAAATGTGAAGCGTTTTCTGAATACTCTTGTTGTCTTGTTCACAACGACCAAGCCGATTTGCAAGCTCTCTTACAGATCCTTCCATCTGATTTGCATCAAAGTCTCCTTGAACAACCTAATCGTTCTCAACTTCTGGAGGTCACTTTTCAATGTCAACGCTATTTATTTAATCCTTAATTCACTGCACTTCTTTCTAATCTAAAGTTCCTTTATTCAGTAGGTTGTATTGGATTTGGGTCGTTTTCCAGAAGCACGCTATTTAGGAGAGCATGGACGCCGCTGTTTAAGGAACACAGAGGTAATGCGTACCTTGCGCTCTTCATTCGGTGGTATTGTTTATGTCTATGTAATGTGATATCCAGAAATGTATTGAGTTATATGTTTTATAGCTAGGTAACTGTGAAGGAGTTGGAATATGCTGAACAAGCTGTTGGAGAGTTTGGCAAGGACAATAGAGCTGGAATTGAGGGTACTTTGCACAGAGTATCTGCAATTAGGAGTAGGAATGGTCACATAGTTGGCTTGACTTGTCGTGTGGGAAGAGCAATCACTGGCCAGATTGACATGGTTTATGACCTACTTCAATACGGGAAGAGCATTTTGTTTGTTGGAAGGTATAACACAGAATTCCCCTTTAATCATTGATATTTTAAGATTGATACAAGTTGAAGTGCTGAGGGAATCCTTGAAATAAAATTAGTTTGATTCCTCATTTTACTTTTGTTAAAAGAATACTTGTAAGAGAAAAAACAAGAAGGTAAAATGAATTAAATTTCTCCTACAAGTTAAAATCACACACTTTAGTACTTTAGAAAATAAAGTTTATATTCTGTGGATGTTCAAGTGAATAAGTTGATTTTACCTTTTTTGTTTTCTTATCCTGTAAGTACTTAAAGAGAGATTTTTCCAGAACATGTGTCATTTGGTTATTTTTCTAAATTTAAAATATTTTATGGATTCTGTGTTTGTCATTGTCAATTGTAACATAGGGCTTAAGTTGTTTGCTTTGGAAGACTTTTGAAATTTATGTTAAGATCTGTCTAATAAGTGATAAAATTTACTTTACCATGGTCTATTGACTCACCAGTCCAATAATGTAGAAGAAAGTTGCTCTGTTTCTCTATGAAAATTTGATGATTTTTTTCCATTCTTTTTCTTGGATTCTCTCAGGCCTGGGGTTGGCAAAACTACTGTTATGCGTGAAATTGCTCGGGTGCTGTCTGAAGAGCTTCACAAAAGAGTGGTATGCTGATTTTTCAGCATCTCACAGCATTTTCCTCTTCCTTAAAGTACTTTTTTATACTGGCTCAGGATAGAATAACTTCTTGCAAGATGAGTAGACGATTATTGATACCTAATGTGAATCCACTTGGCATGAATTCAATTTATGGATCTTTCTAGGATGGAGATGGAAACAAAGAAAAGATGTGGAGCTACAGCCTAGTTTAGGAAAAATTCCTTGATAAGTTATAGGCAGTTCTGTCAAGAACCCAATAGAAACAGTTCTATCAAAAGGGATAATCCAATTTTTAAATAATTCAAGCTTGCTTTGCACATGTACATGTACATAATAGGCTAAGTGAGGCCTGTCAACAGTTGCAGCTCTTAGGAAGCTAAAAGGACTCCACCCGCATGCAATTACCATGTATGTTAATTGTCTGTTACATTAATTTCTATAATTAAATAAGCACTAAGGAGATGACCCACTAGTAATTGTAGAGCACAAGGGCTGTCAAAAGTTGCAACACCTAGAAAATTAACAGGATTTCACTGGTTTGAAAAGCATGCTCGCCCTCTTCAAGAGACAACCATGGCTAGCGGCTCAAGCCTTATTCTTCCTTAAAGTACTTGTTTTAGATAGACTCATGATAGAATAACTTCTTGCAAAATGAATAGGTGGTTGTTGATACCAGCAATGAAATTGGGGGTGATGGCAATATCCCACATGCAGCAATCGGTGGAGCACGAAGAATGCAGGTGCGGGAGCCATCAATGCAACACAGAGTGATGATTGAGGCAGTGGAAAATCACATGCCTGAGGTGATTATAGTTGATGAGATTGGCACCGAAGCTGAAGCTCACGCTTGCCGATCAATTGCCGAGCGTGGGATCATTCTTATTGGGACTGCTCACGGACAGAAGCTTGAGAATATCATCAAGAATCCTACCCTTTCTGATCTGGTTTGTTTTAACTTTTATATACTTGTGCAATAACATCCAATAGTTTGTTGCTTTTGCTCCGTTTTTAAGCAAGTTTTGAACTCTATGTGGCCTTATTTTTACTTAATTTAAGACAATAACTGTCTCTTTTTACTTCATGTTTTGAATAAGTAATGAATGCTGTTTAGATGAGGCCTGAAACTGAATCCCATTTTAAGTTGTAACCTTATTTTCATCTGAATTTTAGTTTTCACATAACTTGAATATCACCCATCTAAGCACTCTAATATTCAAGATTCACCTCCATTTGCTTGATCAGATTGGCGGAATAGAAATTGTTACTCTGGGAGATGCAGAAGCCAAGGCAAGAAATTGTCTGAAGACAGTTCTTGAGAGGAAAGCACCTCCAACATTTGATTTCTTAATTGAGATGAGAGATAGACACTACTGGCTCACACATCAGGTATGTTGATTGAGCATTTATTACTGAAATATCAATAACCTTATCCCACTTGGTGAAGTTGTCTATATGCAACACCATTGGACTTACTCAAAAACTAATTTCAGCAATGCCTTTTTAAGCTCACTCTACCCTTTCTCATAGGGCTAAAATTCATGAGATCTACTCTCATCACCGGTGCCTGCTCGCCTTCTTTACACTCGTCCAAACTACCTAAATCGATTTTTTATGATTTTTTCTTCGATATTTGACAACCAAGATCTCATACAATATTTTTATATTCCATCCTTGTTCCATGCATTCATTATCATTTCTGCTATTCCCACTTTTTTCCGTTTACTTTTATAGAAATTATTGTTGTTATTCATTTAACTTATTTTCAGAATAGCATCAGTGATTTTGTCCAGCCCTTTGAATAAAATGTACACAACACAATGAATGTACTAAAATTCATGAAAGAAAACGTATTGTTAAAATGGACTGTCATCAATACTATGTCCTTGGTTTAAAGCTGAACGTCAATTTCAATCCCCTACCTTAAATACGTTTTTTGACTCTCAAATTTAAGTCAAGTTTGTTTTTTGTCCTTTCAATAAAGAATTGAGGTTTTTGTCCCCTATAGTTTGAAAAAAAAAAACTTGTTTTAATGCCCCGAAGCCTTGTATATTAAACGTTGTCAAAATGGATATTTTGAAAGGAAAACAAACATATGGTTGGGTATTTGATGATAATTATGCAAAATCGAATTATCTTGTGTTGTTTTTATTGATAATTTCTTTTTGTTAACGTCAAATTACTTCAGCAGAATTATATGGGCCAATTGAAAGGCCAGGTAGGGTAGTTTCTGTTAATCATTGAGGGCATTGATAGGCTAAACTTTCATTTCGTTTCAATTATATCTTTTTTTTTTCCTTTTGCAGACTGACAAAAGTGTAGATATGTTGCTTCGGGGAAAAAGTCCACAGGTTGAGGTAAATTCTTTACCGCTGTACTTTTTCAGTTTATTTGATTGAAAGATTTTTCTATTATTATTTGTTTCTGCCTATACTTCATAATACTTATCATTTATATTTGTTGGAGTTGGACATTGCCTGATCTATTACTGTAAAATTTTACTGATGAAAGCGACTGTTAGCTTTTTGGTTGATGCCTGCCAGAGGAGAAAACCTTAAATCTAATGTTAAGTTTTTCCTCTGTTTTCTGAAACTACATCTTAAAGAGCAAACGGCATGATCAGGCTTCTGAGATTGTAGATAAACTCAACATAAGTAGCCATGGTCATAGAAATATAGGTTCACTCCTCGCATCTGGCCTTGTTCTTTCCTCTTTGGTTTTTTTCCTAGTCTTCCTTCCTGACACCTGATTACAATCATATAAGTGTGAGCCACAATGCATGTCCATCCATATGTTCCAGAAGCCTAAATCTGCAATAACTTCACGGGTTTTTAAACTTGTGTCTTCGAATTAACGGAAGTTCATCACGCTTTCTAGATAAATATATAGGGATATTTTGGATATTATGAATGCCATCTTTAACTTCACTATAGGTTACAAATGTTTGGACTTTGGAGTAGCATTCTAAATATGAAGATTTTTACTCAGAAGGTAATTTTGGAGCATGTTTGTGTTGTCATATGGATGTTAATTCGCTTTTAAAATTGGTTCATAGGCTCTGATGCATATGCACTTGATAAGTTGATATGTCTGACCAACATATAAACGATTCTCTTATATATCTTTGATACCATTTTTCCAGGATATTTTATAGTATGACCATCTCTCTAACTTTTTTTTGCAGGTAAGAAGAAAAGATGAAAAGTGTAAGGTCGTGATAGAAAAATCTAAGGCATACGATAAATGCCTATGATATAATTCAATTAGAAACAGTTTAGTTTATGACTTGTAAATTGTTTAAAAACCAATTTAGATTTAAAGCTATAAACCAGGATTATGTAAATTATGTATTTATTTCATTGAGATATATGTATATATTTTCACTCTGAAGTTATATCCAACACTTTATGTTCCGTGTTGTGTTACATTAACGCAATTTAAGAATTTCCTAAAGAATCACCACAAATAATTAAATAACAAAAAAAATAAGAATAACGGAGAAAAGAACATATCAGCATAAGAATTTTAATGTGGTTATATTAAAGTATTAACAAATTCTAATTTATGTGTATGGGCAAACAATTATTAAACAAGTTTCTCTTCCTTAAAAATATACTGATGAATATGCTTTGTCCAATCAACATATTTTGCACATGGTTCATATGTAAAAAAATAAAATAAAATAGATACAATAAACTCCATACCACGTCATGAATTATTCAATAAAATTTGTATTGCATGACACATTTCTCATACTTAGTTAAAATGTAGATGGACTATTAGAGACAATAGAAACTCTCGGTTAGCTTTAGGCATTTTGTACATTCAAGATTCTTCCAACGTTTATCACCAAATAATCCATAAAGTAGACTTTAGACAACCATAAACAAAATTAGGGTTTAACATGAACATCCTCACAACATTCACATCATATCCTATGTTATCATGAGGGAAAATTATTGTATACATCATAAAACCAATGGTTGTTTCCTTGCATCAGACTCTTGTATAAGGAAATCAAATGTACTCGTTTGAATAACTTAAAAGTATGTGACTTTTTTTATTGAGTGTCATGTCTCAAATGTCAAGTTACTCTCTCCTTTGTATATCTTAAAGAACAAAACTTCATTGTGTGATATTATTTCTTACAATAATCGAAATATTTTTTCCACACTTTCAATATGTTTTATTTTCAATTCTTAAACAATTATATATTTTTTCCACACTTTCAATATGTTTTATTTTCAATTCTTAAACAATTATATTTTAGTAGTAATAAATTAGACTCAGTTTTGTATTTTGAACAAATCTGACCTTTATTTACTAGATATTATATTCCAATGTTTCTAAAAGATCTTGTTGAACAAGAGTGTGCATCTTCAATCGTCATAGTCTAAAATCATTATTTATAATAAACTTCAAATAAAACATCTTTGAATCAGCTCACAGAAAGAGCATAACATACAAAAAAAATTTAACGTGATTCAATTAAATAAATAAATGAGATTTAAATCTAACCACGTAAGAAATTAATATCATTCTCTATTTAAAACCTTAAAACAATATATTGATGAATTTTCAATTTTATAATATTATATGATACTCTATTGTTTCATTTTTATTCAATGTGGAACTTAGACTCATTTAAATTCTCATCTAAAAGTTTCTCTTCTTCAAGAAGTCATAGAGAATACTTTTAAGAATTACAACTCAAATCATTGTTTTCTTGCAATTACATTGAATATAGGAACTCAACAACACCACCTCCTCTTTTAAACATGACTCTTTAATTTGAGAAACATATATAAAAAATTATGTAAATCATAATTCGTGACACATAAAACAAGTTTTTCACAGTAACTCGATTAATTAAAACTAAAACATAAAGTAGACTATTAAACATTAGACATTTTTAAACAAACTTACTCAGTGAGACAGTATGAATATTCTCAGTATAAACAACTTGTAACATATTCTAATTAGAGTCTACCATGAAAGGTTAAAATTTGTTGGGGTTAAATCATGTCTCCTCTTGGGCTATTATTGATGAAAGGTATCCCACGATATTGAAAACTTGTCCTAAAGGAAACGTATTTAAGAGGAAGATGGGTTGAAGTTGGAGCATTGCGGCTGCATTATCTCTTCGTCTGATCCTAAGGCCATGAACTTCTCTACTTTGATTATTGATGACTCTGAAAACAATGTACCTCATAGTGGCTGCAATGATACTCTGATCCTTTCTTCTGCAGGAATATACTATCAGATGTCTTTGTTATCTTTACTTTTTGGTCCCACAGTAATAGTGAACTTTCAGCTTATGATCTCATTTTTACTACTCTAGCCCCTACCCGCTATACCAGTCGTAAGGGATTTTATATATGTCTACTACATGAACTCAAATTCATCTTTCTTGTTTGAAAAAGATATCTCACCATTTTAGTGCCATGTTTTGGGTAATAACAAGGCCTAATCCAGTATTTGTAGCAAGCGGGTTTTTCTATAAAGATGCCAATGAGATGTAAATAATACACCCGTAACATTAGCGTGTGGATAATATCCACAGTTTCAAACCACACAATTTGTCGCCTACTAGCCCCACCTTTGAATATTGTCTCTTGGATTTTGACTTCGTGTCAAGATCATGTACTGTCCAGAAACCAGTTAAAGTATGGCATGAAGAAAATTATGATATTTGCACTTCTGTATCATTATTCCAACTGTGTATTTTGGAAGACAAAATGTATAATTTGTATGTACAGGGTTTCAACAAATAGCATGAGTATACTGATAGAAACTCAATCCGTGGATTGTCACGGGCTTTTTTAACAAGAGCTAAAAATAACACTGATATGAGTTGACATTAACATTATTTAAAACCAATTGGATAAAAGCAAACAACATAGCAGGCCATGGAAACTTATGTTCTTTACTCAGCCGGCAAACTCTTTATGTCACCTAGTTATTCATTCTCGTGTGTAGCTACTCTCTCACGTAACCCACTCTTACACTTCAACTTTGTTAACCAGATGTTCCTAGTATTTTTTTATGTTATTCTGTTCTTTTTTGTTTTGTCTGCTTTCAATGAGTGAATGATTCTATATCAGTGTTCAAGTTCACTCGGCCCTGCTGGACCCCTCCAGAAAAAGAGTCCACTCTGCCACTTCCAAATTCCATAATTAAACTATGGCCGGCCACAACATATGCATGGTTGCTACGTTTCTCCACCCTTTTGTCTTAAACTATATATCATTAGTCATTCTCCAATGACAATAAACTCAAACTAGTTCTTCACCAATTACAGATCACCTTGCTTTTAGTTCTACAATTCAGAAGCTTAAGCCATGTTCTACCACCTTAAAACAGTATGCCTCATATGTTTTCTTTTACTATCCTTTCAAGTTTCACTGCGGTCATGTGTTTCACTCCCAAACTTGGCTTCTTGCTTGCTTAATCACAACATCAAAAACTTTACCACGCTCCCTTATAAAGAACACGACCAGTCCTCTTCCTATAATTACTTCAAAATTCTTAATTTTTCCATCCAAAACCTTCGGTTCGCAGAACCCGTGATTCCCAAGCCAATGGCCATTGTATTGCCGGAGAGTTTGGAGCAGCTGCAGAAAAGTGTAGGATGCAGTAGAGAGAGTTCTATGGAAATCAGAGTAAGATGTGGCGGACACAGCTATGAAGGGACTTCGTATGTGGCTGATGAAGGCACTCCTTTTGTGATCATTGACATGATGAATTTGAACCATGTTTGGGTGGACATGGAGACAGAAACAGCATGGGTTGAAGGTGGTGCAACGTTGGGAGAGACTTATTATGCAATCTCTGAAGCAAGCAACGAGCATGGATTCTCAGCTGGGTCATGTCCAACTGTTGGCGTCGGAGGACACATTGGAGGTGGTGGTTTTGGGATGCTGTCTAGAAAATATGGACTTGCAGCGGACAACGTGGTGGATGCCCTACTTGTCGATGCTGATCAAAATTTGTTGGACCGTGAAACCATGGGAGAAGATGTGTTCTGGGCTATTAGAGGAGGAGGAGGTGGTCTTTGGGGGATCATCTATGCCTGGAAAATCCAGTTGCTGAAAGTGCCACAGGTTGTAACCAGTTTCACCGTATCAAGAACAGGCACAAAAAGTGATGTTGCCAATCTGGTGCACAAATGGCAATATGTGGCACCAAACTTGGAAGATGACTACTATCTGTCATGCTTTGTTGGAGCTGGTTTGCCACAAGCTAAAACCAAAGGGTTATCAGTAACACTCAATGGTTTCTATCTTGGTCCTAGAAGCAGTGCTGTATCCATTCTAAACGAGACTTTTCCGGAGTTGGGTGTTACAGAAGAAGAATGCATAGAAATGAGTTGGATTGAGTCTACTGTTTTCTTCTCTGGCCTAAGTGATGGAGCTTCGGTGTCTGACTTGAAGAACAGGTATCTGCAAGAAAAAGAATATTTCAAGGCGAAATCAGATTATGTAAGAAAGCACGTTCCTCTTGTGGGGATAGAAACTGCACTGGACATCCTTGAAAAGGAACCAAAGGGATATGTTATTCTGGATGCTTATGGTGGAAAGATGCATATTATAAGCAATGATGCAATTGCTTTTCCCCACAGAAGAGGAAATCTGTTTACAATACAGTACCTGATATATTGGAAAGAAGGTGAGAATGAGAAAAGCAGTGATTATGTAGATTGGATAAGAGGATTCTATGATGCTATGACTCCCTTTGTTTCATGGGGTCCAAGAGCTGCATATATTAATTACATGGACTTTGACCTTGGAGTGAGGAAGAGGATAAGTAATTATGGTAATGTGAAAGATGGTGTGGAAAGTGCAAGAGATTGGGGTGAAAAGTACTTCTTGAGTAACTACGACAGATTGGTGAGAGCAAAGACCATGATTGATCCTAACAACGTTTTCACCAATGAACAGGGCATTCCTCCTATGTCGTCAAAGCACAGAGCAAACAAATGATGCCATATTTGTAAATCATGTCACTCTGATGCATACAGTGTGCTTCAGAATCTATGGTCGTAACCAATTCATGAATATGAAATTGTCCTTTTCTTTTACCAATGTATTCCTACTACGAGTGTTTATTACAGTCTCCACAAAAAAGTACGAGATAATGACAACACAGAAAACAATACAACAAAGTTTGATAGAAACCAAAATTAATTAATTGTCACTTAACGTTTTTATTTTTTTTTTATAATTTTTTGTGCTTTAATTTGAATAATACCTTTTTTTGCATTTTATTTCCTAGAAGATTATTATTATTTATTTCGTTTCATTATGAAAATAGTGTATACTTAATTTTATTTTTATGATTTGTTATGCTTTGATTCATATAATATATTTTTTTCATTTTAATTCCTGCAATAAAAAAATTATTCTTAGTACCATAATAATCTTAAATCAATTTGTAAATATTTTAGGAATTTTGTTCATATAATAATTAAAGTTAAAACGCTTGAATTTGCGATTTACACGAGTAATATGACATTTATATAAAACTCTGGGAGAAAACATGAGCGCTAGGGAAATTTTCCAAACATATTATTCATTGAAAATTATAAAACTATAAACGAAGTTGATTAATTTTAGTATCTATATAATTTTATAAATTTTAATTAAAGACAGAAGGTTAGTTTAAAAAAATTTACTTAATATTAGTAGTTTGTCTTTTTCCAACACAATACGGAAGAACAAAAGTCATTCTTTTAAATTAAAATGGTATTTTTGAGGTACAAATATATACACGAATATTTCTTTTATAAAAGTGAAATATAAACGTAATGATATATTACAACTAAATAATGAAATTTTTGTTAGTTTCCTTCTTGACTTTTGGACTGTCTAGAAAGTGAAGAAGATGAAAAATGAGTGAACTAAAACAACAGAGAAATTCATAGAAATTGTGAAGAAACTAATTGTGAAACAAGGTAGAGAGATCAAAAGGGTATTACCACAAAACAAGGCAGCTAAATGGCATCATCATTTGTGGGTACTTTATTTCCCAACAACTTCACACAAACCAAACATTCAGCTGTTCCTCTAAGTAGAGGAGTTTCAACAAGGAGGAGAGTGCACTTAACAGTAGCAGAGAGCATGACAACTGTCATAGAGAAACTGGGCATCAAGATTGAGAGAAACCCTCCTGAATCCAAGCTCTCTCAATTGGGTGTTAGGAAATGGCCCAAGTAATGCTTCTTTTCTTTAATTTCTTTTTCCCATTTTATTTCAGTTATAGCAGTGGTGATTTGTTGTTCCTTTTGTTTTTCTTATGAGGTTTGGATTAAAATTTTATGTTTCATTTCTTGATGAATGAATCATGCTATGTGCCAAGGTTTTCATGGGATTGAAGTTGATTTTGTTGTCTGTATTATGAACGACTGAAGAAATCGTAGGAAACACCTTTATGAGGTTCTTATGTACCTGTTGCCTTGATTACCAGATTAGGTGGATCTGAAAGGCTGCAAGAAGCTATCTTTTTAGTTTACAATTTTCATGATATTTGATCTGTCTCTGATTTGGTGTGAAACACATTTGATGTATAACAGATGGGGATGCCCTCCAAGCAAATTCCCATGGACATATGAAGCCAAAGAGACTTGCTATCTTCTGGAAGGAAAAGTGAAGGTCTTTCCCAGTGGGTCAAATGAATCAGTTGAAATTGCTGCTGGTGACTTGGTTGTGTTTCCCAAAGGGATGAGTTGCACTTGGGATGTGTCTGTTGGTGTGGACAAGCACTATAAATTTGAATAAATCCAACAAAGGGTGCCCATCATGAATAAGAAACAGGAATTTCATGATTTGGTGATGTAGTTGGATTAATGAGAACTTTGAATTGGTATTTAGCTTTGAAGATGTTATTCTTTTTTTCTGTTTTTCTCATGCTTTTTCTCCAGTTCACTTAGTAACACAGCGTTAACAATGGAATGGGTTGGATTAAAGTTCTAGTAATATCTCAATCAGCTTTCTCCACAGAAGCAATATTTGACATTTAATGATTGTTTAAAGAGAGGGTATGCTTCCTTTGAGACCTCCAAAATAGCATTCCCTATATGAATGGGTGGAATCTGAAACTGTGAACCAGAATTTAAGGAAAAAGGGCTACTTCAGTAGTTTGTGTGGTGGCTTTTATTGTTCCTCTTCAAAAGCATTCATTCTCGGATCAAGCTTTGTGTTCTCTCATTTCTTGATAAAAGTGAGGGATAAGGTGCCTGAAAATTCGCTTAAAATTTCAACTATAGAGTTTATTATTAAAATAAAACAATAGATGTTTGGAATTTAACCGTAGTATTATATATGCTCAGTCAATTAAAAATGATCACAGATGTAACTATTATAATAATTATAATAGTCTATACTTGGATAAATCTAAACAAGTAAAAAGGAAACAAAAAATATTGCACTATCACTCCTAAACCTGCGATGAACATAAATATGGCACCAGCTGTGGCATTGTTAAGGTTTGGCCCTGAAACTGTTTTGTAAAACAAAATCACAAACATCAACGAGAGAAAGAAGAGGAGATGTCAGACTCAGCAGATCCATTAGTGATATCATTCGGTGAGATGCTCATCGACTTTGTTCCTGACACATCTGGTGTCTCCTTGGCTGAGTCTCCTGCTTTTATCAAAGCCCCTGGAGGTGCTCCTGCTAATGTAGCTTGTGCCGTAGCCAAACTTGGTGGCAATGCTGCTTTCATTGGCAAGGTTCTTGATTTTTACAAACATTCATTTCCCATCTAGCATAGAAATTATTCATTATCAAGGTTTTTTAAATCAAGGTGGTGTCACAGTTTTTGTCACGTTTCATAATATTGCATATAAATACAGCTTGATGATTGCAATGTGACAGGTGGGAGATGATGAGTTTGGAAAGATGCTTGTTGATATTTTGAGGAAAAACAAAGTCAACACTGATGGCATTTGCTTTGATACGGAGGCAAGAACTGCTTTGGCATTTGTGACATTGAGGAAGGATGGAGAGAGGGAGTTCATGTTTTACAGAAATCCCAGTGCAGATATGTTGCTGGCGGAGTCAGAATTGAATATGGGTTTGATCAAGAAGGCTAAGGTATTTCATTATGGATCCATTAGTCTGATATCAGAGCCATGCAGATCAGCACACTTGGCTGCAATGAAAGTTGCTAGAGAAAGTGGTGCTTTGCTCTCTTATGATCCAAATGTGAGGCTTCCTTTGTGGCCTTCTAAGGAGGCTGCTAGGTCTGGAATCAAGAGCATATGGTTTGATGCCGACTTCATCAAGGTACAACTTTTTAAAGTTTTTGAGTATAATATGTTTTTAGTTCTTAAATTTTGATTCAATTAAAATTTGATATTATCTGAAAGTTTGATAGATTTTGATTTTCAAACATAAAAATGAATGGATATAGTCTTTTTACTTAGTTACAAGTTACATTTTCTTAAGTATTAAATGTGTTTCCTAGTTGATATTAAAGTAGAATTGTGTCAAAAATAATGATTATATTTATTATTTTTAAGTTTGGAGACAAAATATATCAAAACTTTTAGATAAGAACGAATTTCAATTTCGTGTCAAAATCTAATAACTAAAAATATATTTAACTTAGTATTATTATATTTTCTAAAAGCCTAGAACTTAATATAAGTGAATGATTGAAGAAATGGAATGCTGACTATGGATGTAGGTGAGTGATGACGAAGTTAAATTCCTAACAGAAGGTGATCCTGAGAAGGAGGATGTTGTGATGTCCCTGTGGCACGACAAATTGAAATTGCTTCTAGTCACAGATGGAGAAAAGGGTTGCAGATATTTCACCAAGGTACCGTCCAATATACACCCATGATTTGAAAACAGTTTTTTTGGCAAAATTGATAAAGCATTTGATGATTAGTATTGGTTAGTTACATTTATGCAGTTAAAGATTTGAACTTATGTTTGTGATCCCACATTCAAGAAGGATTTATGCAGTTAGATGTGGGGAATATACTGATATATTGTTTGACTGTAGAACTTCAAAGGAAGAGTAAATGGATTTTCAGTGAAGGCAATTGACACAACTGGTGCTGGTGATTCTTTTGTGGGTGCACTTCTCACAAGTGTGGCCAGGGACACTTCCATATTTGAGGTATCTCTCTCACTAACACTATAGAATGTTATGTTCTCATTGCCTGACACCATTTTTGTTTTGTTGAATCAGAATGAACAAAAATTGAGAGAGGCTTTGACGTTTTCGAATGCTTGTGGAGCAATTTGTACAACAGCGAAGGGTGCAATTCCTGCACTTCCAACCGTAGCAGAGGCTTCCAAATTTATTTCCAACTCTAAACCTTCATAGACTCTCTTCCACATTTGCTAGTCCACAGAACCAGCCATTCATTTTCATGTCAGAGTTTCGTCTTATTAATATAGCTTTGATATTTCATACCCAATCACTTCAAATTCTTGTTTCTGTTTATGAATAATAACAGATATGCTTTTCATTCTCTGCGTTCTATAAGCTAATTTTATGAAATCTGAGACTGGCGTACGATTTCATTTATACTAACAAGTATTTATATATATGTAGTTTCATCATAAAAATAATCAAAGATCTCTGAAAATCAACGGGTACAAATAGTAATATTACATTCTCATGGCTTTTTGATGAAATCTGACTCAGCTCATCACTGCTGCAATGAATGAAAAGATGATGAATCTGAATAAAATACTCTATTAGAAGGAAGTTCACAAGGCAGTTGGACAAGCAACGAACAGAGAAAATAAATGATAGAGAAATCTATTCCCTATCATTCTTTTTCGGTCACTGTCAGCCTTTAGCTTATGTTAAAATTATATTACGATCATAAAAAAATAGTAAAATCTCTTTCATTTATCAACATAACTTATCATGCTTCTTTGAGGATACATTTATTCTTAAGCTCTTCTTTCTTCTCTTACTTCCACTCAACCTTATATTTCTTCTCTTTTCGTACCTCTCCCTCTCATCAGTTATATTAAACAAAGCGTTAAAGCCACTTATAATCAATGGCTTATTTTTCCTTCTATGCATATTGAACACTTGTAGCATCATATATATGGCCTATATGGGTCTAACATGAGAAAGTTAATATACATAATCGAATAAGTTATCAACTGAAATGTGTAATGCAAATATCAACAAAGGATTAAAATACATTTTACATCGTTGTTACAGAACATATATGATTCTCAATGTCATCCAATTAGAAAACATGTTAAGCTTCTGATGTAAAGTAAGTGATATAAAATCACCTGATATTTACTTGCTACAATCGATTTGTATGATATCCTGATCAAATCGCTTATAGAAATGACTGCACCTTTCATAATCAATCCATTTACCCGTTTGATTACTTTTCCACATTTGTATCAAGAAGTCAAGTTTTCATGTGATTAATCAATTATTCAACTTTCGTAAAAAATAATGAGTTTTGGGGGGCAAAGAAATCATACAATGTAACCAGCTGGGTGTTCAGTTATAGATTCTCTGATAATTGAGAACCGTGTTTTCTAACATTTTTTTTTTCAGTATGTTTTTCTATTTAGAAGAAATTTATGTGAGTATAGTGAGTTTCGTTTCCAAGTCAGCAAGACGTATAGATTTAAACCAATAAAATATTATCAGATGAAAAAATAGACTCAATAGATTTTCATCAAAATACTTTGAAACTTTGGATGGCGTGCTGCCTAAATTAGCAAGCTATCATTTTTCTATATCCTTCCTATTCAATGTACTTAAAACAGGAGCTACAGCGTTATACAAAGGATAATTACAGCAAATTATGAATATAATTTTTACAGATAAAAATGACAATAATAATTTATACAACTTTGTGGTAAATATAATATTACATGCCCATAGCTCTTGATGAAATCTCTGATTCCCCCTCTTGTAAGTCTGGTTCCGCTACGTCATGATTAACCTGCAATACATGAAGAATTTAGGTCAAAATCACCTACCACATTCTCATAGCTTATCAGTGCTGCAGATGAGTGAAAACATCTTCATGAAAAAATAAAAGCATTAACAGACGTTCGTTCAGATGCAATATCATACCACTGAACTCTCCATCTTAGCTAGGTACCGATCTAAAGCACCCTCTCCACAGAGAATTTTTCCTCCACAGCCAAGGAAATTTACCGATCCTACCGACTCCTCGTCAACAACAACCGCATCAATCATTTCATTTCCTGCTTTAACATCTGGAATCTGGTGCAAGCAAGCATTCAATGTATTAGTCAAAGATCAGAGAGACCAATCTTAGATACTTGAAGACAGAACTCTATTTTTCAAAAATAAAAGACACATTGATACCTCAAACATAGCTTCCGTTAAAATGATTTCCAGTAGAGCTCTTAAACCCCTGGCACCAGTATTTTTGGCCATTGCTTTCTTTGAAATCAATCTAAGAGCTTTCTCTGTGAAGTGTAGCTTTACCTGAAGTTTAGGGATAAAGTTTCAGCCAAAATTACCTCTAACTGCTCACACTTCCCATTACTCGATTGCACACTCATAACAAGTATAATAGAAACTCAATACAACTCAAATTGGTGAAAGGGTAGAAGAGAGTTGCTTAAATGATTCTGAAACAAGCTGATCAGGTTTGACCTAGCAGATAACAACACCAAATGGTAGACCATAAAAAAGCTAAATCACTCAAGGGGGTTTAAAGAAGACTTCTAGTCTGTTCTTACATAGAATGGTAAAAAGTATCACCAGCCAGCAACTCAAGAAAGTTACAGTGAACCGTAGCCAACATAGGGGAAGAAAAATGTGAAAAAAAAAATAAGGAAAGCAAGAATATAGCTTTAGGTGGCAAGTGCCATGGTAAAAACCATGTAGTAATTATATAGTTTGAAAGAATATATATATTATGAATTATTATTAGATTAGGTCAACCATAGGCAACTAGGCAATTTCCCTTCAACTCAACCAGGTTAATGTTTGAATAATTTGGTTGTTTAAATACCCGAATTTAGTTGGTTGGGATGATCCAAATATAACAATAACTACTTGAGTTTTTACACCACATACACTCAAACAAAGTAACTCTCACAACAACAACAAAATATGTATTTGAGAGAGTGAATAAGGAGAACTTCTTACGTCATTCATGTCAAATAATTTCTTGTACTGCTTAGCAAGAGCATTTTTTGGTTCTGTGAGGACCTGCAAAATGAACATTTCAGTAGTTGTCTGACCAGATATCCGTGCAAAAGAAATTTATTCTAAACTAAAATACGCTGGTCTGTTTTAACTTACAATTAAATATTCCACAAGACAAAAAGTTAGAATTTTAAACTAGCATACACTTATGCAAGCAGCATATCCAGAGAAACATCAGATTTCTCAATGCCAACCACAAACTTCTTTTTATTCAATTAAAAATATAGATGATAAATTATACATCCACTGGAAAGAATCTCTTTTGCTTCTTCTGTACACATGGAGATATCTTAACAAATGTTACCCTTAAGTTACAAATCCATTCTGGACTGCTGTATCCTTATCCTAATTTTCTGTTCCTTTTGTGACACATAAACTAACATGAACCAAGAGCTTAGCCATACAGTCATTCCTTATATTACATAGTAAATCCAAAAGCAATGGCCATAATAACTTCTAGCTTTTCTAAGAAAACATATAATATAAAAAGAATCCTTATACAATAGGAGATATTCAAAGAATTTTAATGCCTCTAGAAGGCTTTAAAAGATCATAAGGTTTCTCAGCCTTGATATATGTGTGCACCCGTGCCAACAATGAGTGAGAAAATAGAATGATCATAATAACACAACAAGCAGAGTTAGATTTTGGTGCACTAAATTGCTAGTGAAAGCAGGAAAAGCTACAATAACTAAGATTTGAGCAATGCTTATAATACCTGCATGAGTTGGTCTTCAGTTAGAGCTGATAAGCTAACTAAGATTGGAAACCGTCCTATAAACTCTGGGATGAGACCATATGCAATAAGATCAGAACTTTCCACCTGAAATTACTGATGCCACTTTTAAATGCATTTCGAAGGTTGTTGGCTACAACAATATTATTCTCAAACTTCTGTATTTTTCTCTATGCTGTAGAAGTATGGAAAGTGCACAGCAGAATAGCTAATTCACATGATTTATTTTAGCTTGAATTAATCAAAGTCTCTGCCTAACTAGTTTTACAGAAAGGTGAAAGAAAAAAAATACTCATTCCGATAACCATAATCAACCATAATCAATTCTCACCGACTCAAGTAAAGATGATGTTACTGCAGCATGTGTAACCCCACTAGCTCTCATATTGGCACGGATTGGTGCCCCAAAACCAATTGAAGAATCTTGCCGTCTGCTCTTTTTCACAAATCAAAATTAGATGAGAAGTCTAATAAAATCAAGACAGGCATAAAACATCTATGAACAAACATTCTTTATAGACATACAAAAAATAGAAAAAATTACCTCTCTGAAATGGTTTTTTCAAGATCAATAAATGCTCCACCACATATGAAGAGAATGTTCTTTGTGTCAATCTATACATCACAAAAAAGTAGTGGACAGTTATACAAATTAATGACTAAATGATTTGAGAACCGATTGTTGAACCTAACTAACATTGACAAAATTTTGACGAATACTTGCTAAGGGGATGAAAGAGTTCCTAAAGAACTAATCCATCTTATATTTTCATCCTCCTCATATCCAACCACCTATGGCCTCAGATGTATCTAGCATTAATGCTCTCGTGTTAATTATGTGATGGTAAGGTCTTTAAAAATGATAATTCTAAACATAAATGCAGTTCCCCCAAAATATAAATGCTTAATTCTGAATTGTTCAGGTTCAAAGGCAGCGCCAAAATAATACCAGGCAAGAAATTTCACAAATCATATCATATCACAGAACAAACAAGAAACAAATGACAGATGTTAAACTTTCCAAGACAAGATACCTGTATGTTATCACCCCGTGGATGCTTCCTTGCTCCTTTCTCAGGGACGTTTACTATCTAGACAATAAGAAAGCATTCCAAGTTCAGGATACTATCTATTAGAATGGTACCAACGATCCCACAACTAATTATTTTTTTCAGAAACATTTTATACAACAATTGATGGATTTCTAAGAAATGACATTGACAATGTTGCAAGAAACAGACAGGTGACAATACAACAATTTTATCACTAACAGACACTGAGTACAAAAGAAATTAACTTCAATAATATTTAGGGTATTCAAGAGACCATGTTCCCTCCTGGTCTCCGTTTTCTGAAAGTATAATCATTTATTAAAATGACAAACAGATCCCTCTCTCAACCTCTCTTATTTATAGATAATATCCATTACGTTATATTCTCTTGTTGCCCTTTTACACTCAATATTTAGTATCATTACAACATTGTTGATCTTAAATCTCTGCAGTACAAGTTTCCCTTAATAAAAAAAGTCAGCATCCTCTAAATGAATAGTCCCCTCTAAATGAATAGTCCCCATAAACAGTACTTTGAATCTAAAAACTAAGTTCTCAACAAGCAAAAAGAATATACATTTTTTGGTTATATATTGGAAAATACCACTAATGCATCAGTGATATGCTAAAAAAACCTTGCATATATGAAGGAATAAAAGATAAAAATGGAATTACAGAGATAACCTAAGCAAGGAAATTACTTATCATTTTGAAAAACTTAGGCACAAAATATAAAAGATACTACCTTCTTATGACCAACACTTAAGGGTTATAATTAAATAGGAGACAAATACAGACAATTCAATGAGTTCGCTTAGCACTTAATTTACAAAGAAGTAAACCAATTACCAACAACTACGTTTTGGAATTATTTTACTTACAGTTCCTTCCAGCATTTTTAATAATGCCTGATGAACACCCTCACCAGAAACATATCGGATAATATTCAAACTTTCAGCCTGTAATATATAATATAACATTTAAAAATTAAAAGCTATAGTGGAAGGCCATTTATGAACTTAGCCATTAAAATTAGAAAAGAACCTTCTTAGTTATCTTGTCCACTTCATCAATGTAAACAATCCCTTGTTGAGCTGCTTGAACATTGAACTCTGCTGCCTATACGGGAAAAACCAAACTCATAATGAAGAAATGGCAAGTAAAACTAGAAACAACACAAGATATCTTCTGAAAATCCTTAAATTATAAGTAAAGTTTAATAACAAAAGTACTCGAACAATCACATAGATTGAAACAAAAGCAAATGTAATACAAACATAGCAGTAATTATAACTGAAGAAATGCATGATTAATGCGTCTGTATAGCAACACACAAAGACCATGGACAATCCTTTGCTACAATTGATGAGGAGCTTAAGTCAAACTATCATTAGCTTCCTGATGTCTACACAAGAATTATCTGCTAGAAACAAAGAGACACCAAACCTTGGGAACATTGGCACACAAACCAGCCCAGAAAAAAATATGGGAAGCAAGGTAAAGCTTTTCAACAAACGCGGAAAGAGTGTGATTTATGCTTGTAAATGCTATGTAAATTTAGGACAGAAGGTGGAGATGTTTAAAGAACAAAAAAAAACATGTTCATTTCACTTTGTTCAAAGAATTGATAATTTGCTCAAACAACATCAACTTATACAGAACAAATTACCTACCGCAAGTAGTTTATACAATATTGACTCAACGTCTTCTCCAACATAACCAGCCTGCAAATTAGAAAAATTCCCCTTTCAGATCAGTACCGCCAAAATTTTTGTCCAAGGACAAAGAAACCACCATCAGTAAACCATGGAAGCAAATCAGAAGTAGACAATATACTAAATAATACTATCTGAATATCCACATTCTAGAAGAAAAACTTGTAATTCCAATTAGCATAACATCTTATCACTCAATAACCTCACTACCTCGAAAAATCACATATCAGGCACAAAAATCTGTATACATTATTATCGTTTAACTCAATCCTGCTCAACTATTACTCAACCAAACTCTAACACGACCTCGTCAAAGAATACATACTTGCCTGCGTTAGTGTAGTTGCATCAGCAATGACAAAGGGAACATTCACAAAACGAGCCAGTGTTTTCGCAAGTAATGTCTTCCCTATTTGATGGAAATTAGATTAGCATAGCATAAATAAAGTAACTTCGAAAGCTAGCAAGAAAAGCACAAACAACATGATGCATTAACAATTCTCAGTGAATAAATAAAAATATCATATACCTGAACCAGTTGGACCCATCAAGAGAACATTACTCTTTTCCAGCTCCACATTATCGTCATCATCCAATCCTTCGGAGATTCCCGCATCTTCCCCTGACCTAGTGATAAACCCAACATTCAGTCATAGAACACAAACAATTACCGCAACGAAAGAATAAACTGCGATAGCGAAAGAATAAAAGAAACAAACCCGTTAAATATTCTCTTGTAGTGATTATAAACCGCTACAGAGAGCACCTTCTTGGCCCTGTGTTGCCCAATAACAAATTTATCGAGACCCTTGCAGATTTCCTTGGGAGTCGGAAAATCCCTACCCAAATTGGAGCCTCCGATCCACCCAGTGTTCTCTTGGCGGGGCCCAGCGGCGGCCCGAACAAAATTAACACTGAAAGGAGTTTGCGAAGGCACGGCAGCGTCCTGATGCCAATCCTGCGGTGGCTCCCCATTGCTGCTACTGTACAATCTGAGAATCCTCGGCCGTAAAGGCCCAGTACTGGTGCTGTGCCTAGAAGAGAAAAAACTGGGCAAGAAACTGAGATGCAGCTTCTTCTTGTTCCATGCAGAGAATATTCGAGACATAGAGAACCTTCTTGCTTGGGTTCAGATTAAAATTAACGGAGATTCCCTCGGTTCAAGAAAATAGGATAAGAATCCCAGCTTCGGTATCCTTTCTCTTATTAATTGCATTTATCTACGCGTTCACTCTTTTAATATAATAATAATAACGAAAGAAAACGGCATATAATAACATATTTCATCTGTTTTTTTTTTCTTTTAACTGTCAGATTTTCAAAATATGCTGTTTTTATACTTTAAGTTTATGCTAATTTTTTTAGTTATAATTTAAAATATTAAATTTATTTCCTTTACATGTTTATGATAAAATTGAAAATTACAAAATTGTACTTAAGTATTATAAATACATTTTTTTTTTTTCAAATAAATAGATATTGATTTTAAGATTTTGATTGCGTTTAAATATTCACATTACTAATAAAATATCTTGAAATATCATAGAGGGTCCATAGATATTATAGTTATACAACAAGACAAGTCCTCAGAAAAGATGAAAAAGTAAGACATTCCACCATAGGTGGTGGTGGAAACCTTTTTTATTCACAAAGTAAACACAAACTTAGAAAACATTTTTGTTCTCGTTATGATGACAGATAGTGAAACACAGAAGAACTGACATGAAGATGATTGAGCAGCAAGTGACTCAAAGTTCCTGCTTGGTCCCATCATTGGTGAGCTTGGGTGGCTCCTGATCCTCCCCTGCAATGGTGACCACCCTGGGACCCTTGATCTTTTCCGGTGAAAACTTGTTGAGAGTCAGAGTGAGAACCCCATTGTCGAGCTTAGCCTTCACACTGTCCAAGTCCACATTTTGTGGCAACCTGAACTGCCTCCAGAACTTGCCGTAGGACCTCTCCACTCTGTGCCAGTGATCCCCTTTCTTCTCCTCTTCTCTCTTCCTTTCACCACTCACTCTCAGCACCCTATTCTCTTCCACTTCTATCTTTATCTCTTCCCTCTTCAACCCTGGCACGTCCACCATTATTTCATGCCCCTCCGGGGTCTCCTTCCAGTCCACTCTAGCACCTGACATCACCATCGATTGTTCATCTTTCTCCACCCCAAATGGAATTTGTTCCAGCACATGAAACGGGTCTGGGAATCGATCAGACAAGAGCTCCGCCAAAATGCCTCTGGGAGGATCGAATGGTAGTAGAGACCCCTTCGCTTTCGCAACAAAGAGTAACAACAGGAACAAAATGAGTTGGTGTAGCCTCATTTCTAGTACTAATCAGGAAAATAGAAGCAGACGGTGATGGTTAATAGTGAAGAATTATTGAACTTTGGCACTGCAAGTGTGTGTCTTCAACCATGCGATGATCCCTGACACAAGTACACACGTATATATATAGAGCATGTATGAGACAAATGAGGCTAAAAGTTAGCAAGGTTCTTGAAGAATCCATGAGTTAAATGGAAGTGTTTTAGTGTAGAGAGATGAAGAAAGTTCTACCATAATTTGGAATATATTTGATGTTTGATAGGAGGGTACAAGAATTCTCTACCACGTTCCAGACAATTCATGTGTTATTTGTTAGTAACAATAACAGATAACAGATACTTTCAGTGCACTGTAGCTTTTTTTTTAGCACTTTTGCACTATGTTGGGCTTCACTTCAACAAAATATACACTTTCAATCCACACCATACCCACTACTTCGCGAAGTGGTTCAGTTTTGTTTTTCAAAGCTAGGAAGAATAGGAAAGGTTAATAGTTTTTAGATTTTTCTCATTTATTAAACTTGTCCATTTCTAAACCATGTATTATTCTGATTTATCTTTAAAAACTAAGACTTACTATATTTTTGTAGCCTTATATATTCTTTTATTTAAATAAATAATACATAATGCCCAGTATATTTTAAATTAAACAATTCATAATATAGATAATTTCAAGAACATAAAAATTAAAATAAGTTCTAAAATTCTGTTAATTAATTTTATAATTTATTTATTGTTATAGTTATTATTTGAAGACAGGTAGAGTTTGTGGCGAGTATTTATCGTCGTGACTAATGGGTAATTTCCTTTGTTTACAAGGTATGAGCATGGACCAGCAAAATTATTATACTAATTTATATACACTCATTTTTTTTTATTTTCTATTTTGTGTATTAGTCATTACAGCATTTGATTCGTACTAGTGATTGAACTCTCTTACTAGAAATGCATTGATTCTTTTCTATTAGTGGAGCATAAATCAGAGAGTTATTTTCTATCCTTTTTTTGCATCAAGGATAAGATGTAGACAAGGAAAGATTAATCCCTTAAGACGTAAAGATTATTGGAATTACTCTTTCAACAAAGTATTTTTACATACATGACAAAAAATATTTTTCTGTGAACATACTAGAGGTCCTCACATATTTATGGAATTTGTCAAACATTGTTGTGTATATTCCTAATTTTTGTTTGATTGTAACTATAGCTTCAGATTTATATTGTTTTGTTTATACCTGATAAGCACGAGCGTGTGAATGGATAAGCCAAATTTCACATATAGAGGTATTATAAATCTTAGAAAAGTCAAAGATAAAAACAAAAAGGAAGAAACCTATCAAGGCAAACACAATATTATACATAAGAAAGGCTCATTTCGATGTATTTGAAACATATATATATGTAATCTATCTTAGAAGAAAATTGGTGGTGTGAATAAGAATACAAAAAAAAATTATGAACATAACCTATACAAGTAGCAGTAGTTATAGATAATGGAATCACGGCCTAAACAGTGACAGGTTTCAAGAGCTGGTTGCAGCAGCTGAGTACTTAACACTACTCTGAATTTCAAAGACTTGCCAACCAGGGAAGCAACTTTTCATGTACTAAGTCAGGTCTGTCATCATGGGGACAATGTCCAACACCTTCAAGTAAGAAGAGTTTAACATTCTCTTGTTGAGAAGGCAATGAAGAAAAGTACTTGCCAACAGGTCCATCAATTGGAGTAAAGGGATCTTCGTCTCCCCACAAAAGTAAAACAGGCAAGGATATGTTTGGCATCAACACCACCGGATTGGGGCCCGGTGGACCAGTCACAATGGACACAAATGCATCTAAGGCCCCTGGAGCATTGGCTGGTTCCCTGATGATCTTCATTTGCACAATCAAAAATGCAGTTAAGTAAAATGTTGTCAAAGAAAGGAAGATTAATAACAAATCAAGTGAACAACAAAGTATTACCTCCACTAGTTCTTCATCCACAGACTCCTTATTTCCATACACTGAACTCAAAACGTTTCTTAAATTCTCTCTGCATATCAGCAATGCAATGTTAGGTTGCCTCTTTACACATCCAAAGGAATTTATGGCCAAACCTTAAGAGAATACCTTTGTTTAACTCGCTCAAAAATTGCTGAGGCAATTCCCTTTTGCTTTAATAAAAAATCAATCAGCCAAAGCAAGGGTAATAGTAGCTTGATCCTCCAGTCATCAACAATCGCTTTGTTGTTCATGCCACCAGCACAATTTAACAGCACAATGCCTCTCACAAGAGTTTGATTTGAATCTGATTGGAGACTATAATTCATAGATAAGGCAAAAAAGAAATTTCTGATGCAAACTCTATATGCTTAACTGTTTTGAGAGAAATTTAGGTTACATAGCCAGCCTCTGGGGGATAAATCAGACATACCTGAGGCAGCAATGAGACAGGCGAGACTTCCAACAGAGTTTCCTATAAGTACTGTTGGCTTCTGAATAACTTCATTCAAGAAATCCAAGATCAACTGTTTACATTGAATACAGGGTACAAGTTAAGTTTGTAATGTTGTATGCTGGAAATTTCACCAAAAAAAGATAACGCTGGAGATTTGATCTCCAATTAAAACCGCAAGATATAAATACCTGAGCCCAAGTTTCCATGGTATATTGAAAGCCTGGAGGCTTATCTGAAGCCCCAAAACCAAGAAGATCAATAGCATACACAGTATAATTCTGGGCTAGAATATTGATATTCCTGAAGAAAAAGAAAAAACCAAAATGATTACCTACTAGTTCAATTCAATGACTACATTGTTAAGCAAAAGGACAAAATTAGTGATTTTTGAGGATTTTTTTTATGAGAGTAAACTAGAAAAAGGTTTCTATGGGCGGAGTTTGAATCATATTAGCAAAATAGTAATAATAATTGTAACCAAAGTGCTTGACTAAAATCACACATTAACAAAGAAAATTCATGTAGTGGGAATTAAATTTGTTTGAGAGCCAGCAGCTCATCACCAAAGTCCAGTCCATGATCAGATAGATCACCGCCAAGTTCAACCATCCCCTAAGCATTTTGTTTTCCCATTAATCCTTTTTCACTGGGATAGTGAAGATTCCATCTGGATCCAGTGAAACTTTTTAAGATTTAACGTTTGGAATCTAAACTAAGAAATATCCAACCAAAAATTTCCGAAACCAAATTACATGCAAGCTCAATGGACAACCTAATAATTAACACGGTCACCCTAAAGTTCCATCTTTTCTTTGTCAACCATTTTCTGCATTGCAAATACTTGAAGTTGGTGATTACAAATGAAATTGAAAACGGGGATTGTCTGAACGGAAGAAGAGGATTCTGTACAGTTGCTGGAAAAAGATGATTGGCAATCCCAACAAAAAAACTCTGAAGCATTACCTGATATACTTGGCTTCTAAATTTGCACACATTTTAATTTGGGTAATCAATCGCTGTTATAGAAATATAACTTCAAGGGGGAATGCAACACTTCATTGCCTATCTACTTAGAATGCATATGTTACTTTATATTATCCTTTTTTATGTGGCTACCAGCTTACCATACAAATGTGATAAAACAATATCCAAAAAAGAAAAAAAAAGGAAGAAAAAAAAAAAAAAACATGAGAAGTGAAAAATATTGAACACATGACTGGTGGTGGCTAAATTACCTGCGCCAGTGAGGAATGGAGGCACCGAAGCCATGAACAAGTAAGAGGGGAGGGTGGTTGGCTTGCAACTGCTGAGGAGAGTCCGAAGAAACAAAGTAGTTGATTGAATATTGACCCTTCCATTGCCATGTACGAAACCTCTGCTTTATCTTTTCTACCTCAGAGAGGGACCCCTCAACAGCAGAAGTTGCTGTGGAAGAACCAGATGTTGAGTTTATTATGATGCTGGTTCTGTCACTACAACCAAAAGCATTACTTGAGTAGATTGGATGATGATGGTGATGGCAAGGAAGAGGGACCTTCATTTTCCTTGGTCTTGTAGAGAAGAAGAATTCTCCATTGTTAAGCCTCTGAAGGTGTGATTGTAAATGCAGGGAGCTAACAGAATGAACAGCACTTATCACTGCCATCACTTTGCTATGTCTGTCTCCTCTTTGTTCCTCCCTATACAGTTTGGGTATTTTTTGTTAAACCGGAATTTGGAACGGGTCGGGCCCCAATGTAGAGCGTCTTTAATAAACCGGCCCGACAAATGTGACAATGCATGCCACACAAATGCGCTTAAATTCGATTGGGGATTACTTAAATAAAATTTAGGTTAAATATGTAGTTTTTAATATATTTTTATTTCTAAATTTTAAGAACGAAATAATATTTTTTTTAATTTTATTAATCTAATAATATTAAATTTATTTTGTGTTAAACAATATTTTATATTGGTATTTAAATTGAAATGTGTTAAATTTTAGTATATTTAACACGGTATTAGAGAATTATATTAAGTCATTTTAAAAATTAGAAGATTGTATTTAGTCATTTTGAAAGTTTAGATATCGAATTATATTAAAATTTGAGAAAAAATAAATTTTAATTTTGTGTAATAATTTAATAACTAAAAACATATTTAATCTTAAAGTTACATTCTTTTTATTAAATAAATTTTTTAACCATTTTCTACTTTAAAAACAACACCAATTTATTAAATAAAGTTATCTTATGATATTTTTAATGTATTAATATGTTCCTCATAAGTATAACTTTATTACAAAACAAAAAATGTGGAAATCATTTACATTATTTAAAAAAAATATAAGGCAACATTAATAATTATATTCAACACAAAATTTAAAATTATTTCGTTAATCTCATTCTAAATTTTAAATAAATTCATATTAGACATTACTAACGTTGCATGAAAATTTTATTAAAAAAATAAAATTAAAAAACATGGAACCACACCTTAATAAAATTATATTATATATATATATATATATATATATAT